AAATTGTATGTTTAAAAGATTAAAATTAAAACACGCACTCTGGGGCCACATTAAAACAGAAAATAAGCAACTTATTGTTACATTCCTGTCTTTATTTCGTTTTCGAACATTTACACTGTCGTTACTACCTGTATCACCAGAAGAAAAGTCGCTTTCGTTACCGATGTCTTCAAGAGAAATAATCTTTTGGTAATGTCCGCAGTTCTTTCCATCTCGCGATATCCCTTTTTAGCATACTTTCCTTATTTTGGAAAACTAAAAGGAAACTTACGAGATATCCTTGCTGTCTGTGTGTATTTTTATGTATCCCCCCCTTCCAATTCCTGAAAGTCGCAAATTGTCCTGTTTATAACTTCAGCCGTAGCGTAGAGAAACACCGCCTCCAAGAGCTGGACGCGTCATTTTCTATGAGGTCCGTGTCGTATCAAATGAAAGTAGGCGATTAGTTCTTCCCAGAACTTCTTGTTATTTTTATCGTGTCTGGTCTCTGTGGTCTAGTGGTCAGAGTTCCTGGCTACAGATCCAGAGGTCCGAGTTCGATTCCCGGCGCTACCAGATTTTCTAAGAAGTAGTGGGTCTGGAATGGAGTCCACTCAGCCTCGTGAGCATAACTGAGGAGCTACTTGAATGGAAAACTAGCGGCTCCGGTCTAGAAAATCGAGATTAACGGCCATGGGGGATCCGTTGCGCTGACCACGTGACACCCTCTATTCGCAAAAGTTGGCACTAACTTCGCCGACAAGCGGCGGTCGCTCAGTCGGTATGGTTCGCTTGCGGACTAAAGCCACGGAGTTGCGCTTACGCTGATCATAAATAAAATACGTGGTTTTGGCCTGCGCACAAATAAAGTACACAAAGTCAGAGACGATGAAGACCGAGAACTAGTGGCACGGAACATGGTCAGCAGATTGATGTTACATTCAAAACTGACCTGGTGCTGTCTGGTAAGAATAATTGCTGAAGCAGGTAGTTTATATTCTTAGAACAGCCATTACAATACTTAACCAGGCCTCAGCGACAACAGATACTTAACAATCCAAAGTTCGTCAGTTGTTAACTTAGGCAGCGCGTTGTAGTGGAGATAGGCACACAAAGTGACAATGCGCCCATGAATTTCAGTAGCGAATGAAATACAATTTGCATAATATTAATTCGAAAGAAATATTATGTCACAAGCGACAGCGACGTATCAAAACACTGCGCCAATGAAATTCTGTGGGCTATTAAAACCACAAACCTCTCCTGATTTCTGGATTGTATTTCTATTGAAACCTCACGGGGTTGGAAACTAACAGGGGTGTCTTCACTGACAGTAGCCAGCAGGGCTACTACTAGAACCTCCACATATTGTCTATGGTCATAGTCACACTCTGAACTGGTTTTCTAAGCAGTCTGTGATTGTGTTGGCTTCATCAATTGGGTAAAACATGGGGTCTAAGGGACCATGAATTGCAGATGGTGCCTTTGGTTCACCCCTTTCTATTAGGAACTTTGCAAGAGGTCATATTGAGGTGTGACTTCGCAGTTGGCCAACTGTGTTTCCAATCTTTCTAGTGCTCATTTCTGAGCCATTTTCGTGATATCAAGTCAAAGCCACTTGCGACTGACGGTCAGTCTATCTGTCTTGGTGTCGAGCCCCGGCTGGGGCTCATGACCAGATTTTTTTCCTCGTTATATGAAAGTTACTGTCCTGCCCATTTGGGGCGCCCTCTCTGACGAGAGGTCTGGTCTGTCATAGTCCGTATTAGTAAGTCCATTGTCAGTATTTACATATATTTACAAATTTAATCTTAATTCCTATTTCTTTGTAAAATTATACAAGGCCTCTGTCAATCCAGGCTCAGTACAGCAGATTACGCCCTATTTCTAGTAGTATTCGCTACCACGGCTGTCTAGTCACTTGAACGGTCGTATGCCTGACCGCCGCCAAGTTTAAGCCTCTTATACTTTCCGTGTCGGCCTTCGCCTTCGTGCTACATGCCCTGCCCACCTCATCCTCCTTGACTTAATCATTATAATTATACTTGGAGAAGAGTAAAAGTTATGAAGCTCCTCATTATGCGGCTTTCTCCAGCCTCCTGTCACTTCAACTCTCTTCGGTCCAAACATTCTCCTCAACACCCTCAGTCTATGTTTCTCCCTTAATGTCAGAGACCAAGTTTCACACCCATAAGGGGTAACACCACACTTGAAATTAATATATTTCATTATTATNTGAAGGAAAGATAGAGGGGCGGATAGAAGTGACAAGAAGACGAGGAAGAAGATGTAAGAAGATGCTGGATGACCTTGGGGACAGAAGAGGATACTGCCATTTGAAGGAGAAAGCTCTAGATCGCATTAAGTGGAGGAACTGTTTTGGAAGAGACTGTGGACCTGTCATCTGACAGATTACTGATGATGATGATGATGAGCTGAATGACTCAGTTCCATATACACTTAAAGGACTGGTCCACAATTTCAAAATAGTTTTAGATGTATGTCAGCAAGTTACCCATTTCTCAATACCAGTCATTTACTTGGATTTATTACTTAAATTTAGCACAATAATCTGCTAAATTATCATATTTAATAATACTATAATAAGGCGCTTCATAACTTGTACTTCTCACCAAACATAATTAGAATGATCAAGTGAAAGAGGATGAGATTGGCAGGGCATGTAGCACGAATGGGGGAGAAGAATGCATATAGGATATTGGTGGGAACACCAGAAGGAAAGAGACCACTAGGAAGACCAAGATGTAGGTGGGTGGACAATGTTAAAATGGATCTTAGAGAGACAGGATGGGGTCATATGGACTGGATTGAAGTGGCTCAGGTTAGGGACCAGTGGAGGGCTCTTGTGAACACAGTAATGAACCTTCTGGTTCCAACAAATGCTGGGAAGTTCTTGAGTAGCTGCACAATTGGCGGCTTCTCAAGCAGGGTTCAGCTCCATGAAATCTGTTAGTTAATAACACTAAAAGCAGCTCCAGGCATATATGAGACTCAGTTCTCAGTTTTGAAGTCACAAGAGGTGTGTTTCACTCTGAAGTTCCAAATGTGAATTCTGAATATGCAATTCATTTTTAGCAAAATGAGAAAAACATATCACTCTGAAGCTCTCAATTTCTGTGAGCAAATGCCTTGCATCATCAAGCCACAATCTATTTTGTAAAACTGGCTGGGTGACCCACGAAAGTCTGAACTGAATTTAACAATTTCAGGTTGGTAATCCACGTGGCCTGATGCCCATTTCCTGGTGACTAGTCACTTAGATATAGGGCCTAACTTGCTCATCAAAAGTGAATTCTGATGTTGAACCTTACTGAACCGACATATGGGAACACTTAAAAGCTGGAAAGTGTGCGATTCAGTTACATCCACCAAAGAGCTGATGGTCAATTGCGTGGGTTACTTCAAGTCATGGCAACATAATTTTTCCGAAATTTTGAAAGCTCTGACTGGAATTTCCAAATTTGCCGCTGAGAGACAGCAACGACTGAATTCTAATGATGTCACTAGATGATGCGGAAGTCCGAGGACAACGAAGAGAGTCCAGCGCGAAGTCAGTGTGATCATAACCCTCGTCAAGAATGAACATTAGCTGGCTGGAACAGCGTTGTTACATGAAAATAACAGTGCTTTGCAGCAGAAATGCGACTGAATGTCACTCAGAGCTTGAAGCTAGGGTGATAGTGCTCTACCATATAGAACTGTTGCAAGGTGGATAGAAGGATTCCAACGTGGAAGAGAAGCAAGTGCTGACTTGCAACGTAGTGGATGCCCTGTGTCATGCCGATGTTTCTCATGCCGTGATCGCCCAGTGCATGGAGGAATATAGGCGCTGGTCTCTGAAGGAGTTAGAGACATACAGGGATTCACCAGGCAACTGTGCATCAAATTTTAAGAAAAGATGTACACATGCGCAAGATTGCAGCGAAGTAGGTGCCACACAAATGAAACGAGGTTCAAAAGTGGGCACATTATGAAGTAAGTTGTGTGAACCTCGAACGATATGAAATTGAAGGAGACAATTTCTTGAATCGGATAATTTCCATCAATGAAACATGGGCTAGGGCATACAAAAACCTGAGCTCAAATGACAGTCTGCTGAGTGGCAACATCCAGAGTCACCGCGAAAACACAAGTTTCGTCGAAACCCATCCCATGTTAAGTTAATGGTCATTTTAGCATACAATGTCCAGGGAGTTATTCTGTGTCATTTTGTTCCACATGGTCAAACTGTCAATGCACCGTATTATGAGAATTAATGTAAGAACTGAGATTTAACTCACATTGAATTTTTTATTTCTTAATCACAATTGAATTTTTTGAGGATTAAAACAGTCATTCCGTAATGTGCAATTTTTCTTGCCTATTATATCTACACTCTTTCACATCTACCTGATCTGACTAAGCCAGTCGGAGGGGTATATCATGCCCTTTCGTTAGTATATTTTGAACTTTCTTCACTGTAACGTGTTTGCCCCCCAAAAAATTAGTTGCCATGACTTTTGAAGTAACTCACGTATAAGAAGCTCAACCTTATGTTTTCACATTGGAGGTCAAGAGCAACACAATTACTAATGTGCCTCAGTTCCCTAAGTAGTATGTGTACTCTCACATACTTATGCAGGGAGGACAACTCTAAAGCCACTTGGGAACTAGTCACATTCTTCCCCTTGAAACCTGGGGTACTGGGGGGGGGGACACTGATTTAGATTCTCATAATACTCAAAGAAAACATGAACTGCATGAACTGCAAGTCTAAAAGTCAAAGATTCAAGAAATATTAAGATCTATAAAAAATTAAGTATGTGGGGAATTGAGAATATTACATAACATTTTTGTGATTAATAACGTTCTCTCAAAGCTGGACACATTGACATGTAACACCCATGTAGCAGGCAAGAAAAGCATATAAAATTCTGGTAGGAAATGGGAACTATGAAGACCAAGATCAAGGATAGTATTAAAATCAAACTTTTAATTTACAGCAAACAGTACAGGTAATGTCACAACTATGAAAATGAACTTTATTCCAAATATATTTCAAACAAGAAACTGAACAGACACTGAAAATAAATTATTTAGAGTGTACTGTGGCTGATTATCACTCTGAATTCCGTACATTGCCATAGCTTATGCACCTTCCTTCTGTTCTGATACTGGAGTCAGTTTGGGACTACTTGTACAGAATTATACTTCAATTCCATATACAAAATGGAACTCATACATTCTCTCATCTCTTCTTGGAGCAGAAATTGACACATGCTCCTACCAGGTATCAGTATCTATCAGGCTATTAGTGCCAGGACCAATTCACTGAGAGGACTCTTGTGTGAGTGACTGCTGAGACGATATATTTGTCTGGAAATAAATAATAAACAAACATTTCAGATCCTTTTAATACAGACAGTCCACTCTTAATTATCTGGGCTAATGGAAAAGTCAAGCATTGTCTAACCAGAATTACACCATTTTCAGCTCACACAGGTTGAATACCAATAATTTCACTTAGTAACAAAGTGTCTGTGATTAAAAACCTCTAGTAGACCTGTGCTGTCATGAAACAGCACACAATTTTAAAAACCTTCAGTACATAACTAATATCTCCATGGAGTTCAGCACTTCTTGAGAAGCCACCAGTTGCTCAGCCACTCACGAATTTCCCATTAATACATAGGTAAGTCAATAAGTAAGTTATAGATGGATATAGAACTTAAAACAAATAAGAGTACTGATTTGAAATATGCTTTTAATTCTCAACATAATCTCCTGTACACTGAAGCACTTGTCCCATCATTTCACAAGCCCCTGAAAACCAGCAGCATAAAATTCTTTGAGCTGCTGTTGGAACCAGGAGGTGACTTCCCTTTCTACAGCTTCATCGTCCGGAAAATGTTCAGCTGAAAGATGATGTTTAAGAGGGCCGAACTAATGGAAGTCGCTTGGAGGAAGGTCGGAGCTATACAGAGGATGCTTGAGGACTTCCCACTTGAAATTTCGCAGCATCTCATTTGTCTTGTTGGCAGAATGTGAACGCACATTGTCATGCAAGAGGAACATGCCTTTGGTAAGGAGTCCCGGTCGCTTCTGTTGAATTGCCTTACGAAGTATCCCAAGGATGTTACAGTAGGAGTCGGCATTTACGGTTTGTCCTTGAGGCTGGAATGCAGTGAGCAGTATGCCTTCGTGATCCCAGAAGACTGTGAGCATCACTTTCCTGGAGGATGGTGTCACCTTAAACTTTTTGTGGCAGGTGACGCAGGATGTTTCCACTGCATTGATGCATGCTTTGTCTTGGGCTGGTAATGGTGAACCCCAAGACTCATCACTTGTGACCATTCGGGCTAGCAAATCGTGTCCTTCATTGTGGTAGTGATTCAGATGCTGTAATGCCAGGTCCATTCTTTGCATTTTGTGTTGTGGGGTCAGCATGCATGGCACCCATTGTGCACAGACTTTGTGAAAACCTAACCTATCATGCATTATGAGGTACGCCATGCCCGGTTCTGACAGCAGTCCAAAGAATTTTATGCTGCTGGCTTTCAGGGGCTTGTGAAACGATGGGACAAGTGCCTCAATCTACAGGGAGATTAGGTTGAGAAATAAAAGCATTTTTTTCAAATCAGTACTCTTATTTAAGTTATATATCCATTTGTAACTTACTTATTGACTTATCCTCGTATATGGAACCTAAAGGTTCATTACTGTGTTCAAAAGGGCCCTCTACTGGTCTCTATCCTGAGCCACATCAATTCAGTCAATACCACCCCATCCTATCCCTCTAAGGTCCATTTAGGCTGCAGCACAGTTCAAGCAGTTAGTTGCTGGCTTCCCACCGTGGCAGCCCAGGTTTGATGCCGGGTCTGGTCAAGTGGGATTTGTGGTGGACAAAATGGCGCTGGAGCAGGTTTTCTCCAAGTACTCCAGTTTCCCCTGCCAATCTTCATTTCACCAATTGCTCCACAATCACCCTCACCTATCATCTGGAGCTGGTACAATAGGCCAGAAGTGGCCACAGTACAAGGGACTTAGCCCCACCCCACTTCATTCATACTGTATCTACTGTATCTATGAGTAGTACCACAATTTAGAATGCATGGAATTTTACTTCTATACTCCCATATACTTTCAAATTTACTTATCCAATTATGATGTAACAGGGAACACGCAGCAGCATAGTTGGTTGAGGTACTATGCTACAAGCCGGAAAGTCACGGGTTCAAGTCCCAATGAGGTCACTGGATTTTTTTTTCAATCGACCTAATCCTACCGGCCGCATTATGGCCATGGGGTCAACTCAGTCTCTAACAGAAATGAGTACCAGGAATTATTTAAATAATTTTCTTGGGGACTAAAGCGCGACCAGCACGTAAGGCTGACAACCTTACTGCCATCTTTGAGCCAACTGTCTAGATAATGTGGGACCCTCAACATCTCACAACCCTATGGGCCTTCATGGCCTGTTACAGGGATAGCTTTACTTTTTAATTATGATTTAACAATAGTGTCAGTATCTCACCCAATACAGAATCAAAGTATAGGATAACGCTGAATTAAAACTAACCAGGAAGGAAATGGTCATGGTTTAATTTGAGGTAATATCCCTGTATTTTGGCTGATTACAGTAGCCATGAAGTCTAAGGCATGACCCATCTTTGCCTGCTCGAACACTGGGATCATGAGTTCAAATCCCACTCCAGGCATGGATGTTTGTGTGCGTTTATTCTGTTGTTCTGTGTGTGGGTAGCAGCCTTATGAGAGGCTGATCCCTCATTCAAGGAATCCTACTGACTGTGCATAGATTAAGAAACTGAAAAAGCGCCCTAGGTCCACAAGGGCTGTAGAGCCACAGATAGATCCCTGCATTTTACTGGAGGGACTGAAAACCATGAGAACCTGCCAGGATAGTCAGTACCCTGGCCAGATACAAACCACATTATCTCCTTAACACAAGTAAGAAGTGTGACCAACTCGCTTGGTCATATACACTTCCATGATATGATGTTTGGGAAAAGAGCAAATTT